AGAAATGAAAGTGCTGGGTCATATGGCAGCTATATTTGTAATTTTTTGAAGAATCTCCATGCAGTTTTCCATCTGGGTGCACCAATTTACAATCCCACAAATAGTGCATGAGGATTTTTTGTTTTGTTGACAGCTATTCCAACTGCTTGAGATGATATCTCATTGCTTTTTATTTGCATTTCCTTGATGATTAGTGATGCTGAGCATCTTTACATATGTCTGTGGGCCATGAGTATGTACTCTTTGGAAAAATGGCTACTTATTCTACTGCCAACTTTTTAATTGGATTGTTTGGGGGAAGGGGATTTGGCATTAAGTTGTATGAGTTCCCTATATATTTTGGAGGTTAACTCCTTATCAGATGTATCATTTATGAATATCTGCTCCCATTCAGTAGGTTGTCATTTTTATTTTTGTTGTTTTTCGTCACTGTGTAAAAACTTTTCAGTAGTTTAATGTAGTCCCACTTGTTTACTTTTTATTTGTTCACCTTGCCCAAGGAGACATATCCAAAAAGATATTGCTAAGACCATCAAAGAATTTACTGTCTATGTTTTCTTCTAGCATTTTTATAGTTTCGGGTCTTACATTTAAGTCTTTAATTCATTTTGAGTTTATTTTTGTAGTACATAGTGTAAGAAAATTGCTACTATTTGTCCAGTTTTCACACTGAGACCTATTGAAGCAACTATCTTTACCCTCATTGTATACTTCCCTCCTTTGTTGGAGATTAGTTGATCGTATCAGTGAGGATTTATTTCTGGACTCCCTGTTCTAGTTCATTGATCTATTTTTATGCCAGTACCATACTGTTTTGATTACTGTAGCTTTGTAATATAGTTTAAAATTAGGCTTGACTGGGTGTAGAGGATCTGATTCCAAGGTGGCTCACCCATGTGGCTATAGGCACAAGGGCTTACTTACTGGATTTTTGCAGGTCTGTTCTTCTCACATGAGCCTCTCCAGGGTATGCTTGGCTATTCCATGGCTTCCTTCAGATTGCGTGAAGAATGAAAAAGGCAAAAGCCACAATGTATTTTATAATGTAGACTTGTAAATCATATACCATTATTTATGCCAAATTCTGTTGGTCACACAGACCAACCCTAATTCAGTTTGAGAGACAACTACACAAAAGCTAAATACCAGAGGTAGGGATCATTGAGAGATATCTTGGAGACTGGCTCCAAAAATAGCTTATTGTAGTGTGGACATATGGGAAATTTTGTTGTAACAACCATACATATGTATATTGGAAACTAAATTGAATTCAGAAAATTTCAAAAGAAAATTGTTTTTTATACACTCTAATAAAAGGAAGGTTTTCTATCATTCTGAACCCCAAGCCTGTTTCTTCACTTTCCACTTCAGTATACAAAGGTAAATAGATGAACATCTCTTAAGTTGATTGAAATATGAAAAAAATCTGCTAAAACAGATCCATTTCACCTTTTTTCTTGCTTCTCCTGATCCACAGATCTTGTATTCATGTTTGTAAACTTTTTCAATTCATGCTCTCTTTGATAAATATAAAAATGTCATACCTATTTTTTTAATGTTATTTAAATGATAAACATTAGATATGTGACTAGAAGCAAATCAAATATGATAATTTTTTTAATTTATTGGGTAACACTGGTCAATAGGGTCAGACAGGTTTCAAGTGTACATTTCTATGATATATAACCTATATATTGCATTGTGTGCCCACCACCCAGTCAAATCATTCTCCATCACTATATATTAGGCCTTCTTTATCCTTTATTCTCCCCATCCCTTTTTTCCTTTGCAACTTGATTCGCTGCTCTTCCCAACCAGTGGTGGAACCTGTTTGTCCACGCCCTTGAGTCTGGGCTGACTGTGTGGCTTCTTTGACCCACAGAATGTGGTGGGAAGGGTGCACAAGTTCCAGAGCGTAGGCTTTAGGAGGCCTTCAAGCTTGTTTTCGCCCTCTAAGAACACTGCCCCAGGGCTGCCATGGAGTACAGAAGCCCTAATAGCTTCCTGGAACATGGGAGGCCACCTGGAGAACTGAGGTGCCCCAGCTGCCAGCCAGCGCCAGCTGCCAGCCATGTGACTGAAGCCATTTTGGACCTTCCAAAGCAGTTAAGCCTCCAGCTGAATGCAGCCACGTGAGTGAGTCCAACCCACAGAATCATGAGAAATAATCATCCTTATTTTAAACCACTAAGTTTTGGGGTGGCTTGCTTTGTAGCAATAGTTAACACAACTATACTCTGGTGTGATAACAGGTGTGTAAATAATTTGGGAGAAAAAGTAGAACTTGAGAGTACTTGAATAGATAAGATCTTTTTATTTAAATAAACATTTTAAAAAAATTAATCCTCACCCAAGGACATTCATAGAGAGAAGCATCCACATGAGAAACACCAATCTGTTGCCTCCAGGAATTGAATCAGCAACCTAGTTATGTGCCCTGACCAGGAATCGAACCTGCAACCTTTGGGTGCATGAGATAACACTCAGCCAAATAAGCCACCCTGACCAGGCTAAATTCTATTAACAACACCCTGTGTCAGGCACTGTGCTAAGCATTCTGTATATGTTGTTTCATTGCACCTTCAAAACAACCCTATTAAGTAGAAATTAATAACCTCTTTTTGCCCAAGATCACACAACCATTGACCATTTGAACTTGTTTCAAACCCAGGTATACCTGACTCTAAAAATTGTTTAACCATTATCTTGCCTTCCTATAAGATAGAAAAAAAGTCTCAAAAAATTAAATGAATGGAGCTAAATAATTACAAATGGGCACTGTACAATTTCTCAAAAAATTTACAGATCTAATAAAAGGCAAAAAAAAAACAAACACAACGTATTGGGATTTTAGTAAATCTGGCTGCAAATTTTAAAAAATGATACCTTTTACATTAATATACAAATATGAAGGATGACATAGTAGTTATGCTTTTAGGCATCCATTCTTTTAAATACATAGCATGATCTATAAAATGGGAAATAGGTGCCTGGCCAGGTGGCTCAATTGGTTGGAGCGCTGTCCCATATACAAAAACGTCATGGGTTCAATTCCAGTGAGGACACATACCTAGGTTGCGGGTTTGATCCCCAGGGAGGGCACGTATGGGAGGCAATGGGTTGATATTTCAATAAATAGGTGAGGATTAAAATGTGAAATAAGAAAATGAAAAAGACATTCATGAACTTAAGAATACAAACACAAAACACTGAGCAGGACTAAAGCTGATGTCTGCTGAGCTCTTGGTCCAGAAGGCACTGGCAGCTACACCCCCCCCCCCCCTTCCCTGTGACCAAACCACCTCAGGCCCCTCGTCCAGGCCATCCCATGCCCCAAGGGAACCCCCACCCTGATCAGGGACACACTTCAGGGCAAACCAGCTGGCCCAAACCGGTGCACCAGACTTCTAATAAAATAATATGCAAATTGACCATGGTTGATATTTCAATAAATAGGTGAGGATTAAAATGTGAAATAAAATGAAAAAGACATTTATGGACTTAAGAATACAAACACAAAAGAATATAAATACACAGATACAAATATCAACACACAATATGGCTGCCCCCATGTGGACACAAGATGGCCAGCAAGGGAGGGCAGTTGGGAGGAAACTGGTCTGCAAGGGAGAGCAGTTGTGGGAGATCAGGCCAGCAGGGGAGGGCAATTGTGAGGAACCAGGCCTGAAAGGGAGGACAGTTGGGGGCGATCAAGCCTGCAGGGGAGGGCAGTTAGGGGTGACCAGGCAGCAGAGGGAAGTTGGGGGCAATGGGGCCTGCAATGAAGGGCAGTTGGGGGGACCCAGGCCTGCAGGGAAGAGCAGTTGGGGGGGACCAGGCCTGTAGGGGAAGAAGGCTGGCAGAGGAGCAATTAGGCATCAATCAAGCTGACAGGGGAGTGGTTAGGGGGTGATCAGGCTGGCAGGCCCAAGTGGTTAGGGGCAATTAGGAAGGCAGGCAGGCGAGCAGTTGGGAGCCAGCAGTCCTGGATTGTGAGAGGGATCCCAGATTGGAGAGGGTGCAGGCTGGGCTGAGGGATGGAACCCCCCCCCCCCCCCCCCCCCCCCCCCGGTCATGCACCGGGCCTCTAATTCAGTAAATAATAATGTATAGGGGGAAATTATGAAGTTTGGAAAATTGCTAATGTTCCATTGAGTATTTCCAAGCTTAGTAATACTGTTTAGAATAATAATGAAGTAAAAGTTAATATGCCATTCAATTCCCAGTACCAAGTATTTCTATAACTTAGTCCTTAGATATTTTTCTTTAAAGTACAGTACTTTCCATCCTGATACACCAAGGTTTCGGCTTTGATCTCCAATCAGGGCATAGACAAGAATCAACCAATGAATACATAAAGTACAATCCTTTCTTTCAATACTTCCACTGCTCCTTCTAGCCCAACGTTCCCAAATTGTGCAAACTGAGGTGCCTGTGCACCACAGAAAAAAAACTGGCACTTGACATCTTTTGAATATCATGCAAAATTCTAGTTCCAGATAGTTACATTAGTTGCACTACATTCCCTTTGATGACATCAGATCTCTGCGAAGTTGTTTTGGAACCATAGCAGTGATAAAAACTATTACACAAAAACCAGTGTGGCCGAAACCGGTTTGGTTCAGTGGTAGAGCCATCGGTCTGCGGACTGAAGGGTCCCAGGTTCGATTCCGATCAAGGGTATATACATTGGTTGCGGGCACATCCCCAGTAGGGGGTGTGCAAGAGGCAGCTGGTCTATGTTTCTCTCTGATAGACGTTTCTAGCTCTCTCTCTCTCTCTCTCTCCCTTCCTCTCTGTAAAAAATCAATAAAAAAATACTTTAAAAAAATCATTGTGGAAGAAATGAGGATGGCTGTGTCCAATCTGATCCCAACTTTGAGAAATTGTACAGTGCCCATTTGTAATTATTTAGCTCCATTCATTTAAGCCAAGTTAACAAAGTATATATTAATGTAGAGCATGCACATATACTTTGAAAAAAAAGGAAAAAGAGGTAATTTTCCCATAATCAAAACTTTATTGAAAAATTGACACCAAAATAGGAGATCACTGTTGTATACTTACAAAATTAAATGTAATTACATTATCCTGGTAGATTAACTAGAATTATTAAACTGATAAGGCTTTTTGTGATATAACCCAAATTCAGGAAGCTGTGTGGACCATTAGTGTTGCTTTCTTCTAAATGAACACCCTGCAATGGAATTACAAAAGCATATTAAACACAAGTCTATTCTGTCTTTGGTATACTTTTTTGTTTGTTTTCCTTTGGTACAGTTTTAATCGCAAAAAACACAAGTAAAAACATTTTAGGAATATTACATTAATATACATATTTAGGTTATTTATTATATCCTTTCATACTAGAAATTTGCTATAATAAATCATTTATATTTGAATTTCCTCTAATATGACTATATCTGTCACTCCTATTTCTCAAATGCTATTTAAGACCAGGAGCTTGAATGAATTTGTTAGTTAAAACTTTAATATTGGCATGATATAAAGGTTTTGAAAATCTTGCAAGTATGATGACTTCATACTTATATATCTTACCAGATCATATCAAATAGATCTTGAATCTGTTGCCAATCCACTTATAACTCTTCCAGTGAGAACAATATAGAATTCACAGTTCCCCCAAATATCACAAGCAAATTTCAAGAATCATTAAGAATGCTAAGTCTACAAGTTGTACTACAGAAAACTATGTAATTATTTTTTTCTTACTGCATGAAAATGAAAAATGATTAAAATTCGATTTTTTTATATCAATCATTAAGTACTCAGAGATAGCATTTATTATCTGTTACTTAGCTAGCAATGATAAAAACTGTCTTAAGTCTTATGTACCATATACATATGAAACAAAATATTTACAAGAGAAATCAGTCCACGGGCTCACACTCTATCCACTGAGCCAAATAGGCTAGGTAGGCTATAAGAGGAAGTTTTTAAATCCTATTTTTATTTTATTATTTTTTAATCCTATTTTAATCCCACATCCTATTGTATATATTTATTCTTTTGCTCCCTTTATGTTTAATATCCCAACTTAGGCAAACTAAGTGATTAAATACAGCAAAATAAGGTGTTCTATCCTACAAAAAAATAATAATATTCAAAGGAGTTCTCTGCAAGGTCAAATTGAACAGGACACTCTTTACTGAAAGAGTACACAATGAAAAGACAAAATTATTTTGGTAATCATAAATTGGGTTTCTTTTAAATTGGCTTTTAGTAAAGACAGAGACATTTACAATCATGAAATCTCATTACGGGTTAGAAAATGCCAGGTGATATACCTTCCGTGAGTCTAGCCTTTCCTCCTGTCGGCTGGCACAACACTGTGGAACAGCCTACGCAGAGAACCACTGTCTGGGCATGGCTGAAAACCGTGGTGATCTTGTAGCAACCTAGAAAAAAGGCACTGTTAAAAGTGAAAAGCAGAAGACTACACAGCACTTGTTCAACTTATTTCCAGTAAAGACCTTGTAAAAGATTACTTTAATGCTGTGCAATAGCAAGCCACATACGTAACCAACTTTTCTAGGAGCCACAAACTTGTTAAATATTATCATTTCAACATGTAACCAATACCATGGGGGGAGGGAAGCTACACCTTCAAAACCTGCTGTGTATTTTCACTTATAGAGTATTTTCATTTTGACTAGCCACATTTCAAGTGTTCAGTAGCCACATCTATAGCTAATGGCCACACCACCATACTGGGCAGCACAACTTTACACTAAAAGAATCAACATACTTTTCATTGCACCATGAAAAGGAAAGCTCATCAGCTTGAAGACTTAGTAAATCAAATGTCATATTTCCATTGGAGTCCCATCTTCACGCCTCTCCTGTTAATTCCCCCTTCCCCCAAACGTCTGAATACGTTTATTATGAAAATATCCAATTCTGTAACCCCACTTCTACTCCACAGAGGGTCCTAAAAGTATCAAGTATATATACACTCCACACCAGCAATTCCCATAGAAATTTTCATTAGGAAAAGAATTAAATTTGAAACTTTACCTGGGCATTTCACATCCATAAAATAAGAATTTGGACTTTGAACTAGCCGCTTCTTTTTATGTTTTTTCTTTTCCTCTTCCAAGGACGGATGTAGTAAGTCTCTAGCCAACTGAAAAAAAGAGCATATAGTGTTACTACTAGAATGAAACGCACAACGCTGGCAGATGCGACCATACGTGAACTATACATGCAAAAAATCAGTCATTCTCAGCAGAGGCCACGATTCGGGTGTTATTTTTTTTAAAGGTTGTCAACTCTCATCAGTACTTTCTGTCACGTTTGCGTCCTCCCGGTGCTGGAACCGCGGCTCTCGGGCCATCGGGAACCATATGGCAAGGTTCACTCGGTTCCTCTGGGCTCAACCGAGTAACAGTCCCCATAAAAACACCCCGCGCTGCTCAATGAGGTCGTGACTGGGACCCAGGGCCCGCCGAGGGTCCGAATCGCCGAGGGTCCGTGGAAACCGGGGTTCGGCATCTGACCCGACAGGGGCCCCGCGTGGCTGAGGCGCGACCGCCCTCGGCGGAGCTCGTGGGAAAGGCAACAACAACCAAGTTCGGTTTTACAAGGGAAACGGGCAGAAAATCGCTTCCGAGACGAGGCAGCGGGGGCGAAACCCACGAAACCCAGAGACAGCCCCGAAGACTCCGCAGACACAGCCTCGCGAGCGCCCACCCAACACCCAGAGGCTGGGCTCCGGGAGCGGCCGATCCCCCGCGGCCCACCCCCCTCCCCGCCCCGCCCCGCCCCGCGGGCCCGACAGGCGCGCCGCCCCGCAGGTCCTGGCGAGTCCGCCACGCGCGACCCGGGCCGCGTGGCCGCCAGCCGCCGGGAGCCCTGGGCCGCCCGCGCCGGCCCCTCGGCCCCCGGAGCCGCCCCGGCCCCAAAGTAAACAGCTCACAGGCATGGTGACCCTCTCGCAGGCGCAGCCCGGCCCGATCTCCGCGGCGACACCCGGGCAGCGGCACGCGATCGCTGGCAGCACCCACTTCCGGGGGAGAGGAGGCCGGAGGGGGCGGGGCGGCGCGGCGTCCGCTCTAGGCGCTCCTCTCGATGGTGGGTGCGCGCGGCCCGCGGTCCCGGGCGGGGGCTCCAAGCACAGGGCCAGTCCGCAGTCCGCGGCCCCCGGCTCCGCGGACCTAACGGGCTCAGCCCGCCTGCCGCAGGGCTCCGCCCGGCCCAGCGGTGCCGGGGTCGGCCAGCGGGGTGTGTCCGGCCGGGAAGCCCCTCGGGCGTCGGCCGCGGGGAGAGGGGGTACGGGCGGTGGCGCGGAACCCCAGGGGCCCGCTGGGGCGGGCAGGCGGGGCCTCCGGTCGCTAGGCCGCCGTCCCCTGTTGTTTTGTGTATCATACTAAAAACAATATTATCAATTAAAACTGTTAACCTGCGCCAGTGGGGTTATGCAAGAGGCTCCCGTACTCGTGCATGCTGCTTCCCAGGCGCCGGGTACAAGTTCGTTGTGGGAGGAAGCTGTGCCTTGGGTTTGCTCTGCCCGGGAAAAGTTTTTAAGCGCGATTCCCTGCCAGTTCGCTACCGCTGCCGGACTTTGTTCACTAGAGGCTCCTTCCTGTCCTCTGAGGAGCACGCACTATGCAGAGCGGACAACTCCAGCCTGAAACAAAATCCAGGCTGGGCTCACGATATAAAATACCAGAGGCCTGGTGCATGAGGAGTTGGGTCCCTTGGCCTGGCCTGTGTGACCATCTGAAACCAGCTCTCCAACATCCCCTGAGGAGTCCCAGATTGCAAGAGGGTACAGGCCAGGCCGATGGACCCCACGGGTGCACCATGGGGTCAGGGAGGGGTGGGGGAGGGTCCCAGAGCATGTCAGGCCTGTCTGGCTCAGCCCGCATCCGCCAGATCCCAGCAGCAAGCTAACCTACCAGTCAGAGCATCTGGCCCCTGGTGTGGTCAGTGTACAGTCATAGTGAGAGGTTGAGTGGCCTTAGCATATCATTAGCATGTTATGCTTTGGTTCAATGGACAACTGGACACTTAGCATATTAGGCTTTTATTATATAGGATTTTTGATGAGGAGGACAAGCTTGAAGGATTGAGTGTGAGGGAATGTGATCAAAACCTAAGAAACCAGGGAGACACTTGACCAGAAAATGGTCCTAGATAGGTGTTCTTAATCACCTATTTCTCTATTTGCAAAAATAAAATATAATACACATTTTGGAAAATGCAGAGAAACAGAAAATTGAAACCACTGTGCAGAGATAAACATCTTAAACATTTTGACCTATGTCCTTTCAAATATTTCTTTATTCCCTTACAAATAGGTTTGTTTTGGGTTTTGTTTAACATAATTGATAGCTTATGCATATTCCTTTTTAGTCTTCATCCCACTTACTGTATAATGAACACTGTCCCATCTTACTACACATTTTCCTAATTATGACTCTTAATAGGCACATAGTATTCATCATATGAATATATACCCTCCTTTCATCCATATGCTAAATTGGAATTAGGTTGGGTTTTTAAATATTTAGTATTTTAAATAATAAATATTTTCAGATGGATAAGTATCCCATATTATAAAAGGCTAATATGCAAATTGTCCCCTTGACCAAGAGTTCAACCAGGAGTTCAATTTGGAGTTTGACCAGGGGTCAGGGCCAGCCAACCAACCACCTGTGGCCCCTCTCCCTGGCCAGCCCCATGCCCGATTGGCCCCCCACCCTGACTGGGTCCAGGCCGATTGGCCCCAATTGGGGTAGGCCAGCCAGACCCACTCGTGCACGATTTCATGCATGAGGCCTCTAATATAGAATAATACAATTGAGTAGGCCAAATAGTGGCACCCAAAGTCTTCAATGTCCTAATCCCCAAGATTTATAGATACACTAGAGCCCAGTGCAGGAAATTCATGCACAGGGGCGTCCCTCAGCCTGGCCTGTACCCTTTCCAATCTGGGACCCCTCAGGGGATGTCTGCCTCTTGGAATCCTAGACCGATGGCTCCTAACCACTTGCCTGCCTGATCACCCCTCACCTCTCTGCCTACTTGATCACCCCTAACCACCTCTGCCTGCCTGCCTGATTGACCCTAACTGCTCCCCTGCTGGCCTGATCACCTCTAACCACCTCTGCCTCACCCTGTACCCAGGACCTGGGTTTCCCTTCCTCTGGCCAGCCACAGGCACCCAGGACCCAGGCCAGCTTCTCCCAGGCCAGCCACAGCTGCAGGGGACTGTGGGCACCCAGGATTTCAGGGAGGGCAGCTTGTCCCTTTCCTGGCTGGTCCACATTCCTCTCTCCCCAGTGTTGAGTGTCTGAGCCATTATGGCATGATGGCGTGAGGGCATGATGACTGAAGTACAGAACTGTAAGAATAAATTTGCATTGTTTTAAGCCACTAACATTATGGTAATTTGTTATAGCAACATTAGAAAACTAATACAATAATGAAGACCCATGTACCCAACACTCTGTCAAATCTTTATATATATATATATATAAAGATTTGACAGAGTGTTGGGTACATGGGTCTTCATATTATATAATATATATAATATATATATAATATATATATATATATATTTGGCACTCTGTCAAATCTTTATATATATATATATAAAGATTTGACAGAGTGTCAAATATATATATATATTATATATATTATATATATTATATATATTATATATATTATATATATTATATATATTATATATATTATATATATTATATATTATATATATATAATATATATAATATATAATATATATATATTATTGATTTTTTACAGAGAGGAAGAGAGAGGGATAGAGAGTTAGAAACATCGATGAGAGAGAAACATCGGTCAGCTGCCTCTTGCACCCCCCCCACTGGGGATGTGCCCACAGCCATGTACATGCCCCTGACCGGAATCGAACCTGGGACCCTTTAGTCCACAGGCCAATGCTCTATCCACTGAGCCAAACCAGTTTTGGCTTTGTCAAATCTTAAGTCAAGACAGCCAATCCCCAAGTTTTCACTATTAAAATAACACTGTGGTAGCCGGGACCGGTTTAGCTCAATGGATAGAGCGTCGGCTTGGGGACTGAAGGGACCCGGGTTCGATTCCGGTCAAGGGCATGTACCTTGGTTGCGGGCATATTCCCAGTAGGGGGTGTGCAAGAGGCAACTGATCGATGACTCTCTTTCATCGATGTTTCTAACTCTCTATCTCTCTCCCTTCCTCTCTGTACAAAATCAATAAAATATATTTTAAAAAAAATAAATAAATAAAATAAAATAAAATAAAATAACACTGTGGTAAACATTCCTGTCGATTAGTCTTTGTGCACATCCTTGATTATTTTCTTAGAATAAATTTCTAGAAGAGAAATTGCTGAGTTAAAAGTTATGCACATTTTAAGATTTACAATATTACCAAATTACCTTCCAGGAAAGTCAAACCAATTTACATTCCAGATGGATTGAAAATTCCCCTTTTTTTGCACCCTTGGCAATACTGGATATTATGTTTTTTCCCAATCTCGGTCAATCCAGAAAAACTATATGGTGTTTTGCCATATTTCACTGTTGTGTTAATTAATACTTCTCCCATCCAAGTACTAACCAGGCCCGACCCTGCTTAGCTTCCGAGATCAGACGAGATCAGGCGCATTCAGGGTGGTATGGCCGTAGACTTAATTAATACTTCTCATATGTTTATTGCTCATTAGCAGTTTTCTGTCGGGATGATTGATTTCCTCCTTATGTGTTCTTCTATATTAAGGATATTAACCAAATATTTTCCCAATTTATTTTCTATTAATTATATCCTATTTTATTTTTGTGTGATTTAAAAATCATACAGCAAATTGTAATTGTGTATGCACACACACACACACACACACACACGCAAGCACACAGTATAATGCAGGCATACCTCATTTTATTGCATCTTGCTTTATTGTGTATCACAGATGTCACATGTTTTATAAATGTAAGGCAAGACTCTCCACCAGCAAAAGGATTACATCTCTCTTTAATGCAATACTTGCTTTATTACAGTGGTCTGGAACCAAACCCAAACTACCCTGTTTCCCTGAAAATAAGACAGTGTCTTATATTAATTTTTTATATTAATTTTTTCTCCCAAAGTTGCACTAGGTCTTATTTTCAGGGGATGTCTTATCTTTCCATGTGCTAGGTCTTATTTTCGGAGGATGTCTTATTTTCAGGGAAACACGGTATCTCCAAGGTTTGCTGCATATTTTAAACCTGTTGCGTTTTCCTTCATAGACAGGCCTTGGCCACCTTAGAATCGGCTAAATATTTGCCTATATTTTCTTCTAATTATTCTTTAACTTTTTAGTTAACCTGGAATTTATTTTGGCACTTGATGGCACCTGAACTTCTAATGATCAGGCCTAGTTATTGCTTCCGTTCCTTAACCAATGCTCAGTACAGTGTTGAAACTCTTCAACTTCTGAGAGGCTGTGATAACATGAAAAATAAAACTCTCAAGAAGACCTGAACTGTATTTATAACTCTGCCTCCCCCTCCAGAGCTCAGTTTCTCCTACAATGTCCCCCAGGCCCTTGCACTGATGGCAGATGAAGGGACCTGGAGTCCCTCTGCCTTGGTGGCCTATTCTCAGGCATCCTGCAGGAGGAGCGCCCACCTGCTTCCCAAGCTCGAGAACAATCCAGCTGTCTCTCCAGGTCTAAGAAAGGGCTGCTGAACTCCCAGTCAGCACCTGGTTCGCTTCACCTCAGAAGTGCCGTCAGCTCCTCCCCTTTCCCCTTTCCCAACTTCCGAAGCTGGGAAAACTCACAGCTGTTTGGGATAAGCCAGGAACTCAACCCGTGCTAAATTTCAAGCTGGCCAAGACTGGTTCTAAATAGGTCAGCTCCCACTTTTCCCTGGGCTAGAGTTCCTCAGGCTCCTACCTTTCTTTTCCCAGAAAGATGGTCAGAGGTTTTGTTTTTAAGCAACTTGGGGTGAGAGGTGGAGGCCTAAATAACTTTTCACACTCCTGCCTTTCTGAGTATTTTTTTTTTCTAAGAAGCTCAGAGAAATCTGTGTCATCAGCAAACATAACAAGGCTGCATTCTTTTTTTTTTTTCTTCCTTCTATTGTCCACCAGTCAGGCGTCTTCAAACTACGGCCCGCGGGCCACATGCGGCCCGCAGAGGAGTCTGATCCGGCCCGCCAGGTTTTTTGGGCAGTGAGCGCAGCCAAGGTGTTACAGTAGGAATTAGTAGTTCATATAGTCCGGCCCTCCAGCTCTCTGAGAGACCATGATCTGGCCCCCACTTTAAAAAGTTTGAGGACCCCTGGTCCACCTGTTGGCAGGTTTCAAAGCACATGTGACTTATTCTCAACACATTCCCGAAATCAGCAGCAACTTCTGAAAGGCCACGTCTTCTCTGCACACCAGTTCAACAGGGTCACAGCCGTTGTCCCAAAAGTTCCATTGTAGGGGTTCAAATCCATCTGTCATTCATGAAGACGTTTGACACTCTCAGGTAAGCTCCCATCTCTTAGGGGTAAGAGTCCCAGATGCAGGCTGTGCTGTCCTTTTCTTTATTTTCCATACCAACTTAATTTCTGACTGAGGCTGAGCCCTTATTGGGCTGGTGCTATCGACTGAATGTTTGTGTCCCCACACCCCCAAGTTCATATGTTGAATCCTAACCTCCAATGTGATGATATTGGGAGGTGGGGCCTTTAGGAGGTAGACAGGTCACCAGGGTGGAGCCTAGTGCCCTTATACATGAGGCCCCAGGGTGCTTCCTTCCACCTTGTAAAGACTGTGAGAGACTGCCATCTATGAACAAGGAGGATGGCTCTCTCCAGACACCAAATCTGCCGGCGCCCTTGATCTTGGACTTCCCAGCCTCCACAAATGTGGGAAATAAATAGCTGTTGTTCAAACCACCCAATCTGTGCCCAGAAGGCTGACTCTGATGGGCTACAGCAGCTGGGTTCCCTTACCCTCTGGTTTCTAGTTGGGTTAGGCCCATGGGAGGCATCAGTAGGAAATCACGGGGTGGGACAAGAGCTGAACTGGAGTATTTATTCCCCAAGATTATCCTGGACAGGCCATTTTCTCCCAAGTGGCCCTGTGGCTTCAGGTGTCCCTTTCCCACAGCTCTCATGGGATTCCAGTCACTACTCCCTCCCCTTCTGCCTGAGAGGTGGTGCCTCCAAATTTTGTGTTGGTTTCTGCTAACCCTTCCCCAACCTTGTACCTCGTCCCTGTGGAATTGAATGGGCAGTCTGTAATCTGCCAGGACCCGGACATGGGCATGCCCTGCTGGGATGTGCTCCTTTTCATTTTAGCCTGGAAGGCTTTGCAGATGCGCTCCATCTGCTCCTCAGCCATCAAACCCGGTTACCCCAGGGATGTCCCTTGTCCCTGCCTGCGGAACCCTTTGGGTTTAACAGGTCACGGCTTGAGATGAATATGGGAACATTAAGGGGGTCCTAGCCATGCAGATCTTTGCCACTCTGTGGACCAGCAGCCCTGGGAAATCCTAGAAACTTTTTGGAAACGCAGACCTTCTGAGTCAGAATCTGCATTTTAACAAGATGCCCCAGCGATTGGTGTGCACATCCCAGTGTGAGAAGTACTGGCCTAGATACTCCGCACTGCCATCTCTCTGGAATCCTCCTACCAACACCTGTGGGGCTGTCAGGAAGCCGGAGTCCAGATTCCTACTACTCCAGGGTGGCAAGTCAGGGCTATTTTTCTAAACTGGAGCAAGGAAGCGCCCCCTTCCCTTCGTCTCAAAGGTATTTTGTTCATTGCGGCAAACCTCATTCTCTCTTGTGTCTAGGAACCCTTTAAATCAGTGATACTCCGACTTGGTTGCACATTAGAACCCCCAAAAGAACATCCTAGGTCAAGTAAATTAAAGTATTTGGCAGCAGAGCTTTTAAAACTCCCCAGGTGGTATCACGAGGAGCCAAGTTGAGAACTACTGCTCTAAGTTCTCCCGAGACCTCAAAATTTTCAAAAGCAAATCCCAGGAAGAACTACAGGCCATTCCTGCTTCAAGGGAGAGATAGGAAAAATGCATAGAGGAAGGAAAAACATTAATATCCAGCCTCAGTAGTCAGGTGAGATCTCCCAGCATTGTCTTGGCTGCCTTGACGATCAGCTCTCTGGTCTTCTCATCTCTCCACCTATTGCTTCTTGCAAATCCTCTCACTACCTGCCTGAGTCTCCAAGGAAGAGTGAGCTGCTTAGAGGCCAGATACTCTCTCAAACTACATTGTCTTCTCACAGCTCATAGAGAAGATGTTTTATGAAGATGCTGAGGTAAGCAAAAATTTATACAAATGTAATTAATCTCTCCTACTTCTGAACTCCTGCAGCTCTTACATTCATCATTGCTTAATAATCATTGCTGTCTTGCGTGTTTTTCATTTTATGCCTTTGTACTGTAACTTCAGCTCCTGTGTCTATGGTTCTATGTCTTCTCTTCCCTGAAAGTCCACAGGCTTCTTAAGTTGAGGATTTGGTTTCATCCCCCCACAGGCCTAGTGCCATGCATAGTACGTGCAGGGATGTGTCCACTGAGTGCCATACTCACCGTAGCTAACTGGATGGCCATTCTTTAAGGACTGTTGCACCGCAAGTTTACCTACACCCTCTAGTTCAGTTGTAACTTCACTAGGTTCTTCATGATGCATGCCTTTGACCCTTTTCCTGTGCCACAACCTAGTGTGATGAAAAGACCACTTAATTCTGGCTAAGCCTCAGTTACCTTGTTTCTAAAACTGGAAAACAATCCTAAGTCATTTTGGGGTTGGTCAGATTTTAAAGTGAGCTCTTCCCTTGGAACAAGTGTACAGGCAAAATAAGTGAAATCATTCTGTTTTACCATTAGATAAAGCTGGTTAAAAGCCTAATGAGCCAAAGAGCTCAAAGTATTAAGAATGGTATTTTATTTATTCACATTAAAGAACTTATTCAGCTATTTATGAAATGTTTGCTATATATAAAGTAAGAGGTAATAGAAATGTTGTTTCTTAGGAACACAGAAACTTTTTAATTATTACATCCACTTAACCCCTTTAAGCTGTTTCTCCATCTGTAAAATGAAAATATTTATACTGGTTTCATAAGGTTAAATGAATATAAAGATATAATACTTGTAAAGTGTATAGTATGCTGTAAGTGCTCAATGAATGCTTAATTGTAATTGCTAAAGCTTGTTGATAATATAAACATCATTTGGCTCTGGGGATCTTGGGCTGATGGTGATTTCCTTAAAAGTAATTGGTAAAGCCGAAACTGGTTTGGCTTAGTGGATAGAGCGTCAGTCTGCAGACTGAAGGGTCCCAGGTTTGATTCCTGTCGAGGGCATGTACATTGGTTGCCGGCACATCCCCAGTAGGGGGTGTGCAGGAGGCAGCTGGTCGATGTTTCTCTCTCATCGATGTTTCTAGCTCTCTATCCCTCTCCCTTCCTCTCTATAAAAAATCTGTGGAATATATTTTTTAAAAATAATTGGTAGAATGCAATGTTTTTACAGAAGATTGTGTATACATTCCATCTGCAGAAAGATTGCAGGAGTCTTACCTTTGACCAAATGCTGAGAGATTGCGCTTTCAAAATCCAACAGATGGTACAGGAGGCACTTGTGCAGGACAAGCGCTGGCCTTGGAGAGCTGTTCCTCTCTGCTTCCAGAGGGCCTTTGTCTTGGAGGTGTCTTCCTCGCCTGTTAGGTGGTCACTCTGAAAGTAGCTGTGCAGACCGTGATTATTTGGATTTTCCTGAAGGAAAAGGGTGTGGCCTAGAAGGCAGTGGAGACTAGTCTTCCATAAATATTTTCTCCTAAATATTCCACTCATCTAAAACTAGTTAACTATATTCAACTACTTACATTCCAAATTGCTCTTATATAAAGTAAATACCATTGGCTCTAAATATATTTTTTATAGAAACATATAGTCTAAAATATAGTAAAAGGTCTGTCTTCATTATTACTCTTGCCAGCTTGGTAGTCAGTGGGTAGCAGAGACTGAAGCCGTGGAGCCCTGGGAAATGAGCTGGGGGGAGAATTGTGCTACTGATCTGCAGTGTTTGCTAATTTCCATAAATGTTGCCACTATGGCCAACGTCAAGTACTAGGATGAAGTTAGTTTACACGGAATGGGGAAGAGATGAGCAGAAACTCCTGTTTGGGTAATGCCAAAGTGTTATTTTAGGAATATTGCCGTTATCATCAGAACTACTGATTAAAAAAAAAATTCATATTGACAATTTTGGGCTTTCTTTTCTCTTTTTTTGGGTCAAAAATCAAAGAATGGGAATGAGAAATATGAGAGAGAATAGACTACTAGACAAACCCAAACTGGATGACCTTGAATAAGGAAGAGTTGACTTACTTTATCATTTTGCCCACCTGAGCACAACATGTAACAGAATAAGAGCTCTCTAAGATGTTGCTCTCTGACTTACAGATAAAGAGGTTTATATTAATTATAGAATTTCCGGTTAGGAAGGAACAATTCATTCCAATTTTAGATAGCTCTAATTGTTCCTTAAATCATGTAAAAATATTTTGCATGACTCCTGCAATCTTTTTAACTTAAATTCACCTATTGAGGTTCCGGTCCAGGAAGGGAACATAGAAAATGCCTTCACTTATTTTCCAAATGACAGCCCCAGCGCTAATTGAGGATGGCTTTACTTCTTCGGGATGAATATCACAGCTCCTGCTCTTTGCAGTTTCTCATCACCCTTTTCATGTTTCTCTGGACATACTCCAGTTTGTCCATATTTCTCTTAAAATAGGCCCAATGACTTAACACATTGCTAGCTCAGAATACATGGCGCCATTCTGCTCATCACATCTGTGTCAATATACCCCAACATCACATTAGCTTTTTGGGCAATGCAATGGCACCACATGACTGATTTACATAAACATAAAAAAAAATCCTTAATTTTTAAACTGTTGCTAAATCTCATGTCCCTTATGCTATTGTATAATTGCATTTTAAGGAATCTAAGTCCAGGGAATATACTAAAAACCATTGAAGTCTACCCTTTAAACCAATGGGTTGAATGATATGTGAATAATATCCCAATAAATCTGTTAAAAAACGTAAGTGCAGGAAAAAAAAAGGCAGATGTATCTTATTAAATACTAAATTTTGTATTTTATTCAAAAACTAATAAATTTTGCCAGATACATTATCTTATATAATCCTTTCAACAATCCTTTGAGTTCTAGCAGAATTAAGAAACTTATGCAAGTGAAGGAGGAAGGGTTTGAACCCAGATCTACTCAGGATGCCCATGCTCATGTCATGCTCATTCACCACACCACACTGTCTTCCTGTCACCCTGCTGTGAGGTAGGCTTTGTAATTGGTGCCCAGTCCAAGTGGTGGGCAGAAGCCTGCCAGGTACACAGAGCTGCAGGACCATGTGGCTGCTCAGAGTAGTAAAAGGTGACATGGTGATTTAGATCTGGAAGGTAGTAAAAGGTAGATGCCCCATAAGTGGAGCAAATATGATTTTTGGCAGTGGTGAAGTGGGTGGTGGAATGGTGGGGAGATATTGGGAAGAATAGTGTAAGTGACCCAGACTGGCAGTGTGGGTCAGACAGGACAAGGGGCAGGCAGTAAATGCCCTGCTCGGTCTGCATTTCAGATATGTTATGGGGAAAATAGATGTAATCAAATTAGACTCCCGATTGTGAAGAGACCAGGGTTCTGGCCAGGTCATGGAGGCAGGGGCAGAAGCCCGAGCAATCAAGAACTCAGGTCCTGCAAGAGGGAATCAGAACTGAGACTGTGTCAGGATAAAGGAAGAAGCCCAGAAGCCAGAACCAAATACCCAAGCCCACGGTATTTGGTCAGAGTAAGACAAGCCACAGGGAAACCTAACTGTGTCCCTGAACTACTGAAACAGCCTCTCAAAGCCTTCAGCCGGAGACAGGATTTGTCGCTGACTCTGGTGCAGGGCCAAAGCTGTGGACGAGTGTCAAGTGGCCCAGCAACGGGGACTGACAGATCATTAGAAGAGACCAGTGCCTGTCCAGTGTTTTTGTTTTTGCTGCCACAGCATGACCAATGACAGCCGCAGATACACATACCCCTGTAGAAAGATTCAGGATTGGACACAATTCTGGGTGTGCTATCTGTACTGCCACCTATTTACCTTACTATACAAGAAAGTATATCAGGAAGTGATTACGAGAGAACTTTCAGGAATTACTCTGAATCTGTCCCATTCAATTTTATCATCAGCAAAAACTGCTTGTGTGCATGTCTGGTTCTGGCAGGCCAGTGTGGTCCTCATCAGGCAGACCCTGCCTGGGAAACCAGAATCCCTGGCTTTTTTTTTTTTTTTTTTTTTTAATTTTTAAAATATATTTTATTAATTTTTTACAGAGAGGAAGACAGAGGGATAGAGAGCTAGAAACATCGATGACAGAGAACCATCGATCAGCTGCCTCCTGCACACCCCCCACCAGGGATGTGCCCACAACCAAGGTACATGCCCTTGACCAGAATCAAACCCGGGACCTTTCAGTCCGCAGGCTGACGCTCTATCCACTGAGCCAAACCGGTTTAGCGCCAGCTCACTCTTAGCCAAGGCTCCTTGGGTTTCATGTAACAGATACCCCTTAAGCTTGCCTGAGCTAAAACGGAGAGTGCACCGGACCTCGGCCAGGGCAGGAAGGGTAGCTGGGCTTCCTGGGGGTCAGAACAAAGCCCTGAGCGGCCATGGGAATGGAGATGGCTGTTGTTTTGCCACTGCCTTTCTGCTCTCAGGGGTGACCTGGTTTCTCATCTCTACTTCTCCCTGACACCATTTCAGTCTCCATTTCTGCCTCCCAGTACACACAAGTGAGAATGGCCATGCCAGCTCCCTGTTATATGCTGTTCTAGTTCCTGGGCCAGTAGTGACTGACCGAAAGGCCTGTGTCCTGATCCTAGATACTGTGGAAAAGACTCTGGTTGTCTCAGCGTGGGTCAGACGTATCTATTCTAATAATTCATGGGATGATAGTGACTCTTGGGGCCCGCCCCTGTGGGCGAGACTGGGGAAAGCTCTTAGGAAAGGAGGCATAGACTGAATGGAAATCCTATAGGTGACTACTCCCTCCAGCGGTCTAAGTCTTCACCCTTCTCCCTGAAACATGGAACATTAACTGGACATAGCTTGATAACTGAAAACACCTTCGTGAGTGTCAGCAAATCGGTGATGAATATATGCAACAAAAAAAACTGTTGTTTTTTTTCATGTAGAATAATCAAATCCAGGGACCACACGGTGAGGGGAGAAGCCAGTTTAAACTAAAAACATATGAAATGTATTGGAACTGAGCTTGTTTACAAGGATCCACATTACCTAACAATATATTTTACAAGCAACAAAATTACTTATGCATAGACACAAGTAATTAATTTGCAAAGTGCCTTTTTAAACAGCCTTCAAACTATGTCTGAATGAAAACTGTCTTATACTTCTTTTTTTTAATGTATATTTTATTGATTTTTTTACAGAGAGGAAGAGAGAGGGATAGAGAGTTAGAAACATCAATGAGAGAGAATCATCGATCAGCTGCCTCTTGCACACCCCCGACTGGGGATGTGCCCACAAACACGGTACATGCCCTTGACCAGAACCAAACCTGGGACCTTTCATTCGCAGGCTGACACTCTATCCACTGAGCCAAACCGGTTTCAGCTATACTTCTTAATTATCTGAATAATAAAATCTGAAATCAGGGGCTAGAAGCAGAAAATCTGGAGGTTCTGACCTTAATGGATTGTGCTTCAGATTCATAGGTGGCAAGAAGGGAGCTCTGGGGGTAGGTTGTTAAATCTGAAGGCTTACTCTTAGCCTCTGAGAGCAACCCTACAGCCTGTGATGACCACAATATCATGAGTGCTTACTTTGTGCCAAGCACTGTGTGAACCACTTTACGTGGATTATCTCATTTACTCTGTACAATGTCTCTATAAGATGAATAGTAGTATTACTCTCATTTTACAGATGGGGGTACTAAGACACAGAACCATTCCCAAGGTCACACAGATGGTAACCTGCTGAAGCAAGATTCAAGTCTAAGTCTGGCTGAAAACCTTTGCTTTTAATCAATATAATAGATCTTCCCACAAGATACTGTGTGTGTGTGTGTGTGTGTGTGTGTGTGTGTATGTGTGTCCTATACGGAAGGCACTGATGTCAAGGGCAATGAGAAAATGATTAAGATCTTCTCAGGGTTTTCAAGCAGCTCAAAGTCATCTAATATTAAGGAAGAAGCTGTACAAATCTATATATATAAAAGGCTAATATGCAAAGTGTCCCCTCAGAGTTCCACCAGGAGATTGGGAGTTTGATCAATTGCTATGATGTGTGCTGACCACCAGGGGGCAACATGAAGGGAAGGGAGGCCCTGATCAACTCTGATCACCAGCCAGACCTAAGGACCCTACCTATGCATGAATATCATGCACTGGGCCTCTGCTATAGTTATAACATAATATGAATGTTATGCCATCCTAGGAACACAAAGGCTCCAGGAGATTAAGGGAAGCAGAGATCATGTCTACTAAGTATATAAAAGTTATGATTTTCTGTATGAATGTTGTTAGATGAATTGTGTGAGAGAGACAGAAATCCAATATTAGCCAAAGTAACCAAGAATTCTTAGGTGTGATTCTCACTAGGCTGGGTATGACTTCTGGTAGGTCATATAGCCATGTCTTTAAGTGAACTGTGGAATGTTCCCCCTAAGGATAAGACAAGCTTGATCCACACTGCTGCAGAAGAAAACACCTCTAAGGTGAGCTGTCCGCCAGCAAATCACAGCAGGGAAACAGGAAGAAGCTCAGCCAACACCTTCGGATAGAAATCTCCCTTCAGTGTGATACTTCAGACCTCAAGGATCTTGCCAGGACAATGCCAAAAGTGAATGGGTACACACCTGTTCTTTGTACTTTGATTGCAGAAACCATTCCATCACCTGCCACCAGCTGGACCCAGTGGATCCTGGTGCCGCCAGAAATCTGAACTGTGCACTGCTTACTCACTCTGTGCTCCACTCCCATTACCAAACCCTGCTTTCTGTCCAGGTAACGTGAACCCAGCCCTGCTTTTCGGCACCCCTGAAGGCTGTAGCAGTCTGTGATCAGGACTTAGGGGCTTAACTGTGGCCGTGGAAAGCAGGATGCACTCCAGACTTGAGATAATATGGCTCCAGTGCTGCTTTTCATGTATATACAACTTTACATTACAAAGCCTGTCCCCATCATCATTAATTAAACCTGCCACTCTGCGGGAGGGTCGAATTAATCTGCTCACTTTACAGCTGATAAAACGGACAGAAAGGCTTAGGGATTTGCTGAAGTGAAGTGGCGTTCAATCAAGGACGCCTGGCCCAATTCCCTTTCTAGTTTCTCTTTTTTTCGCTTGGAAGAGGCCTTCAAAGTGCCCAGCTCTTAACTCCAAGCAGCTTAAGGAAGTCAACTGGGAAGAGTTGCTCAGCAGGGAAACAGCAATAAACTAAACCATGTGGGGTTTGAATTATTTCAAAATATCAATAGCTAAGTCATATTTTTCTGGTTCTTAATGGATGTTAAACACACACATGCACAATACGCGCATACATACACATATGCACATATAAGCACACATATTATTTCTCCCGTAAGGCCAGGGAACAGGGCCACTGAGACATAGTTGGAACATTGCTTGGAAGCTGTGCTACATTTGACCTAGTGAAAAGCAGCCCACCCACTACTCACACTTCAACCCTCTGTTACCAAATCCTTTATATTATATTATTATATCAGTGCATGAAGTTTGTGCACTGGAGGGGGGCCGCTTAGCCCAGTCTGCACCCTCGTGCAGTGTGAGACCCTTCGAGGGATGTCTGACTGCTGGCTTAGGCCCAGGGGATCAGAGCTCTCACAGTTCGAGACCCCCTTCTCCTTACTGCCTATCTGCAGTGGAGGTGGGAGAGGCTCCTGACACCACCGCTGTTCTCGCCAACCATGAGGCGCTGGCTGAGAGGCGCTTCCCCTGTGGGAGCGCACTGACCACGAGGAGGCAGCTCCTGCACTGAGTGTCTACCCCCTGGAGGTCAATGTGCATCATAATGACGGGTCGTTCCTCCGTTCAGTTGATTTGCATATCAGGGTTTTATTATATAGGATGTTAAAACAAACTCAAAATCAAACCTATTCCAAAAGCAGGTCTAGCCTCATATTTATGAGGCCCAGGGCAAGAATAAAAACGGAGGCCCATATATCATGTGTCTAAATATTTAAAAAATTGTAGCTGGAGCTGACAAGCTAATCTCCTACCTTAACAGAAAAACAGGATGTTTTAAAAGAATATATACACACTTTAACAGCTGATAGCTCAATTTTGAAAATGAAATGTATTTTAATAAACACTGCTTTTATAATTAGTCAAAGTGTACATGCATTTTTGGGAGGACCCTATATGTTTATAATGACCTAGAAAATAGGTTTGGATTTAGAGTTTTCTGGCTCCTCAGAGCTTCACACCAGAGTGGGCTGGTTTGTGCAGAGCAGTCCTGGCCTGGACCTATGTCCTTCTTTCCCACTGCAGACCTAGCCCACATCATGACAGGCCTCACACACACACAATGAGAGCCCCTGCCCATAAGCTCAAACTCTGGCCACATCACAACCTCTTTTGGCCACTGCTTGGGCCTGTGTTGCCAAAGCAATGACATAGTCCAGCCTTGGCAGGATAGATCAGGGTAAGAGGCCCACACGAATCTTGGAAGCAGGGCTTTTGGCAGGAATTCTGAGGTCTGAATTCCTAGAGTGTGGCCGAAGAGGGGGACATGGCTCTGAGTAAAGATGTCCACCTGGCCTGTGGATTCCTTGCCCAGTGGGGAGGAGTGGCCAGAAGAGGGCAAGGGTGGGGTCTCTAAGGAGGGGGCCTCGGGAGAAGGATTCTTCTTGCCAAGACCTAAGAGCAAATGATATGTGGCCAAATAATGAATAAGCCAGAAGTGTGAGTTAATCCTGGAACCTGTACAAATCTGGATAGCATTAGTAATTGTTCAACTGTAAAACACAGAGGCAGAGCTGTTTCAAGTGTTTTGTTTGCTGCCTTTCACAGATAACTTTCTGATTCTGGGCAGTAGGCATGGTCTCCAGTAGGTATAAGGGCTAGACCCCAAATGAATAAACTCCATACTTAAATATTTTACTGGAGAGGTTGAGCTCCCATGAAAAACCAGATATCAAAGGTCTAGATGGTGATCCTAGGGTGGGTACCCCTGCTGGTGTCTCCCCAAATGGGACTAAGTGGGAGGAAGGAGAAAAGCATGACTCTCTGGGCCACCAGGTGGGCGTGTGCTGCCTGGCCTTTGTGGAGAGGGTCCTTGCATCAGCCACGTTGCAAGGAGCTACGGGACAAACCACTCCCTGTGTCCATAGCATTCCCCTCAGAATCAGTCATGATCACAGTCCTGGCTTGACGTGCAAAGAAGTTAAAATTATGAGCTTCCTTATTAACTCAATTTTTAAAACAATGATTCGCAACATTTAATTTTAAAGGAACTATGGCCACACATGAAAATTATATTTTATCATCAATTCTCAAGGCAAAAATGTCAATAGGGAAAGGTGTAAAGTGTGTACTTTGATGCTAATTTGTTGTGTTATGCTAACGGGTTATGTTAGCGATGCTAACAGAATTCTGGTGGCTAAGACCAAGGCTTTAGTCCCACCTTCTCTGACATCATTGTTCCTAATATATAAAGGAGGCATTTCCATAATGGTCTTCACATGTTGGTTATAATATATAAACTATTTCTTTACATTTTTCTTTTTTCTTTTTTTTTCTTTTTTAATATATTTTATTGATTTTTTACAGAGAGGAAGGGAGGGAGCTAGAGAGCTAGAAACATCGATGAGAGAGAAACATCGACCAGCTGTGCCCGCAACCAATGTACATGCCCTTGACCTGAATCGAACCTGAGACCTTTCAGTCCACAGACTACCTTTCTACCGCTGAGCCAAACCGGCTTCGGCTCTTTTTGCTTTTTAAGTGCAGACAAAAATATGGGCCAAATCAGAATAAAAGAGTCAATTCCCAACATCAGGTGACTTCTAGGGTGTGAAGAGACAGGTCTTTATCCTGCCCCCATAGTCTTCTCACCCACAAATTCACTCTCCTTTCAGTCAAAACCACTCTGCAGAGCCAGCAACAATTTGTGTGCCTCTACTGACCCCATTTCTGGTTATCACTTGACAGCTTAGCCCGTCTACTACTGCATTGCTGCCCACACAAGTAGCGAGCTTCCTGAAAGCATACCCACAGCCTCCTCCCCACAATTCAGGTTCTCATGTCATCCTCTTTGTCCATCCAGGTCAGGCGAGTTGTATGTCCACAGTAAGTTACTTAGTGCTGGTCCATAGATCTCACTAGGACAGTCCTGTCTTGCCATGGCTCTTGATGGTGCTGGTGACTGCTAGTAAAATCTAATATCACTGATAGCCAAGTGATGTAACCTTCTGTTTACCCAGAGTAGCTAAGGAATGGGGCGTTCTAATACACTGGGTAATTTGCTTAGCTGTAGACTACCAGTTTTGTAAGAAAAATAAACTAATTTGAAAGAACCATAAACTAACACAATAGCACATTACTTGCCTATCCTAATTTCAACTAGCATTGTAATTATTTATGTGTATGCCCCACCTCTCCTTCCAGAACACAGGCTTCTTAAGGGATGGTCTATATAAATCTCATCTTTATTTCCTTATAGTACCTGGTGAATTGCTCTATATATTGTAGGTACTAAAAAAGTTTTTATTAAATTAGTGAAACTATAGAATACAAACTAATTTACCAACATGACTTTATCCGTCTTTGATGACTCAAAAGGCCCTCCAGGATCACACATTTCTTCAGATTCATGATTATGTGCGATGTCTCTGAGGATGCACTGCAGTCCAAGTGGCTGAAAGGGGAATTCTACAATGACTGGAAGTTAGGACTTGTTAACTACTGGTTCATTCCAGTTAGAGGTCTGTGTGCATGTGTTTAAAAGTCAAATATTGATGTGAGCTCATTTATTGTTACCTAAAAGAAACAAACATCACATCACAGTTTATTGTTTATTAAAATAAAAGATTACAATAAGGAGTATTAACCAGTTTATAAATCTCAACCAGGTCAAGGAATTTTCTTTGAGATTTTTTATTTTTTATTTCTTTATTTATTAATATATGTTTTATTGATATTTTACAGAGAGGAAGAGAGAGGGATAGAGAGCTAGAAACATCAATGAGAGAGAAACATTGACCAGCTGCCTCCTGCACACCCCCTACTGGGGATGTACCCGTAACCAATGTACATTCCCTTGGCTGGAATCGAACCTGGGACCTTTCAGTCTGCAGACTGACGCTCTATCCACTGAGCCAAAGCGGTTTCGGCAATCTTTGAGATTTTTTAAAAGGTAGGATATCATTAATATATTATTACCATTATTAAAGTTGAATCATCAGATTATAATTTACTAATTAATGCAAAAATATTTACCACCATGTGCTTAATATATGCCAAGCCCTGTGTCAGTCATTAGGTATATAATATGAATATAATCCATGCCTACAAGAAATTGAAATAGTTTATCTTGAAAAACATTTTATTGTGCAAATCATTTTACAGAAATTACATGTCACTCTAGGAAGTTAGCCTGGGTGTGATGTGACCCTCTAACATCCTACAACTCATTCAAAATACAGACTAATACAAAAATAAAAAGCTTATATTAGCTTAATTACTACATTCATGGTATTTTATTTTGTTTGTTTTTTATTCAAACAGCATCCTGAATGTTCGTTTAAGAATCTAGTTTTTTTGCACTTTCGGAATTCTGGGTGAATTTGCCTCTGCACGTAAGATGACTTTCACTTCAGTTTAATACAATGTCTGCCAGTCCCCCAGGACTTGGGGGTAAAACAGCTGCCCCAGGTAGGGAGGAAACAGCCATCTTGTGCCCGACCACTTTGGCTGATGGCTCTGTGGACGTGGTAGTGACAGAAGCTGCACGAGATTCAGGAGAAACCCGGGAGGCATGAACGGGTGTTCTGGGTCCAGTAGGACTTCACAATGTAGACCTTCGTATCTAAAACGAAGGGTTTAGATCAAATCAGAGTTTCTCAACATATATTCTGCAGGATACAGTCCCATAAGATGCTCAAAAAGGGGCCTAAGGCAGGAGTGTGGGGAGAGTGCACACCACACCTGGTTGTGCACACACTGCACATCAACATATTAAGGATTCTGAGAAGTTTACCATCAAAACCCTATGGTAGCAGCATTTTTCCAAAGAGTTTGGCCATGAAACCCTTTCTTCTAGTTTCACCTACTAATATCTACTGACTCACTCAGTATGCTGAGGAATGAACTTTGGAAACATTATAATAAACAATCTCTATATTTATTGGTTTTATAGCATCTGAAAGCAGAAGCTAGTCTTAGAAATCAGAGGCCCCTGAGGTAGAATCTCACAGCTGGTCCAGCCAAACTAAATCCCTTTCATTTGTCAATTCCTTACAGTCCATATGTTTAATAACTCCAATGAATTAAATTTTATGGTGAGGAGGACTAGAAAAGGCATCAATCATAGAAATCTACAGATAATCTGTAAGCTCCAGGATTTCTACCTTTGGTTAAACTCTGTCATTTGAAGGTACTTCTGATTAAGCACAACTAATGATCTGTATCCATAGGCTAGTGGAGATGTTACTGAGCAGAGAATTATCTACAATTCAAGAAGGGGGGAGGGAAAAACAAATGGCACAGAGTCCAAAGCCCAAGTTATTAGCTCCTGGGTGATTAATATGAACTTACCTTTTCTTTGATACTGACCTCAAGGAAATCCTTTAATTATTTTTTTTAAATATGTTGAGTCATATATTTCTTTGTTTTGGTCTCAGAAAAGAGAAACTGACGCTTGGCGAAACTGACCTTAAAGTCCAGCGTCCTAGATAGTGTCTCTCTAATGCCAACTTTAAAAAACCTCACATATCACTTCACAATGGCCTTCGCATTGGGTTAAAAGGGCAGTGATGATATTAGGCTTCCCTGTCTTTTCATGTCAGTTACCTGTAAAGAATTCTTTAAGTTGGTGCCTAAGCAAACAATGGTATTCTCCCAATAGTGAATTGACTGGCCCACAGTCCCAACTATCACATAGCCTAACCTCAAAGTAATTAAAGAACCAAGCGATTTGTATTCTTTTTCGACAAAACTATTCTTGAGTAGCAGATAGCAACCACAAATGTTTTGCTCTAGAGACATATGGAAACCTCTCTGCTTCATAAAAGCCTTAACGAATATTAAATGTCCAGTGATGTCACTCATTGCAGAAAGGAGATGTTGTGATAATCCCCCAAACAGGTCCCGTTAGACCATCTAGCTACCTCAGTTTCAGAAAGCAGTAAGTGGGAAATTACCATGTGATTGGAATTTCATTAGCAGTCTTTCTTAACCTGAGTATTCACCCTTGCCCCAAAGAATCACCTATTCTGCCTTATTAGTTCAATATTCTATTAGGTTGTCACCATCATGTATACATAATTGTAAATCTTAAAAGTGAGTAATCAAAGAGTTCTGCTTAACTTCATATTAACTCTTCAGTTCTGCCTGAGCAGCGAGAGCAAGGAATTTCAAGAGAGAGAGAGTGTGTGTGTTTTATCCTAAGTTCTGGGTACTCAGCCTGCTCTCTAATGAACTCCATCTGTAAGTCCTTGATGTTAAATTGCGGGCTATGTTTTAAGATGATTCAGGAAAAATTATTAAGCTCAAAATACAAATCAGAATTTCATTTTTCTCTTAACCCTATAGATTGGCAACCCAATGAATTGTTGTTGTCAGCAGAGAGGACTAAAGCTTTGCACTCCTCCGAAAGAGAGAAGTGCTGGTAACTGAGTCATAGGGCGAACTGAATGCTATTTAGAACAAGGAACTGGGTGTCTTGGGCTCCTTTCCCAGCACCACACCTCGCCTAGCCTCCTGGGATCCTCTAGGCCTGGAGGCTGTTGAAAAATCCCTTTAATTCACCAGGGTGTTTGGTTTGTCTGTAAGACTAGAAATCCCATGGCAAACTTAGGTCACCTGTTATGGGAGCTTAGATTCGAGAGCCAAAGGGTTTTATAGGCAGAAAAGGATTATCTAATCCAGTCCCTTTCCCCCCATTTTACAGATGAGGAAACTGAGGCACAGAAAGGTGGTTCTTTTTTAAGGTCACAGAGCTAGTTAATGACTGAGCTGGGAACTGAACCCAGGTCACCAGATGCTTAGTCTACTCTTCTTTCCATTGCAGAATCTCAGGGCAGACTTGACAGAGCCTGATAGTCTGCAGGAGATGTTGTTCTAGGCTGCAGAAGTGTTTAACCTTAGCTGGTGGCTGAAGTAGGGTAGGAAAGGGACCAGGTGTCTAAGCGCTTATGTCAATTCTAGCTTTGGACCACACTTCCTTTCTTTGTAAAACAATGTTTCTTTTCAGCCCCTTCTTCCCAGTTTAAGATTTGTTTTAAGAGAATGACAAGTCAGAATGTTCCTCTATTCAGCTCCAGGACTTCTCCAGAAATTCCCAGATAGCCAACCATTTAGCAGTACTTGGTATAACTATCCATATGCACTTGACACTGAAACAGGTGGAGGTATTCATTTGTTGCCTCTAAAGCAGTGTTTTTCAACCTTTTTTGGGCAAAGGCACACTTGTTTCATGAAAAAAATCACGAGGCACACCACCATTAGAAAATGTTAAAAAATTTAACTCTGTGCCTATATTGACTATATATAAAGTAATTCTCTTGAATAGGAATCAAATAAACACAAAGAAAGTATTTTATAATTACTTTATTATGAAATATTAAGTAAACAAAATAGTGAAAAATTATAAAATTCTTGTCTTGTCTGCACCTACGGCACACCAGGCAACATCTTGCGGCACACTAGTGTGCCGCGGAACAGCGGTTGAAAAACGCTGCTCTAAAGCCTTGTCTCCTCTGTTTCTAACATAGCCCAGTGACTCAGGGTGAGTCTGACGCCACACTCAGCTTCAGTGGCTTAAGCCAATTGGCCGGTGCCCTCTTCTCGGACCTGGGGTTGGTTCACAGAAGGGCAGTCAGGGCCCAGGGAACTCAGGTGGTTCTAGGGTACTTATTTGATTCTTGAAAAAGAGGATGCTCTACATTTTGCTGTTTGTATCTGGAAACAAGGAGTCCCAGGAGTTTCAGAAAGACATTTTGCAACCACCCGGGGCCAGCCTGTTGAAATAAGTATTATTTTGAGGAAGCGTTGCTAAGAAACCAAAAGAGAGACACCAGGTCCCCTGCATGTCATGTGAGCTGCTTTATTACTCACCTGTCCCTAGCTCTATTTTTTATTATTTCAGAATGTGATTAAATAAATAGTTTTACTAATTAAGCCATTTAGTGGTTTATTTACTATCATATGCTTCCCAATACCTGTTATGATGCTGATTGTGAGTTTTGGCACATTTTGACTTTACCATTGGGTCAGTGTCCATTTTAAAGTTGGTCCCAAAAGTCTTTTTTTAATAACTTAAACTTATATGAAACTATACTCAAAACTCCTAAAATTTACTGAATATTCCCTATTGGACACAAAATCCTATATAGCAATGCCGAGGATAATGAAAGGAAGGACTTTTACTAACAAATTTTATTGTCAGAAACTTTATTATCAGGGAAAGAAATAATATAAGAGATATAAGAATGGCTAATTCCCATCCACCCTTTAGTGAAATAATATGCAGGCTAAGCTTTATCTCCCCTTTCTGTGGGTTGGACCCTACCCAGAAATGGAGCCACCCAGAATATTTCTGGGTAGGAAATATTAACTTGCGTGGTTTCTTCTGTATTCTGGATGATAAGGTACCTACTCCCAAGAAAATAATTTTGCCTTCATCTGGGCATTGACCATGGCCTTTGCCTATATTCCAGTGCCCATGCCATAGATAGCCTCCCATTCAGTTATGTTCATTAACCCAGGTCTGAGGGAGGCAGACTGTCCTTATATCCTC